TTTTCAGTATGAACATCAACTTCAATGTATAGTTACATAGTTGCATAGTTACATAGCTGAAAAGAGACTTGCGTCCATCATGTTCAGCAGTCTTCACATATGTTTTTGCTGTTGATCCAAAAGAAGGCAAAAAACCTAGTCTGAAGCGCTTCCAATTTAGATGTAAATGCTACTTGGTTTGTCGGGTTTGGCCTTTTACAGCAGAACTTGATTTATGCTATTCAGGTGAGAGTTTGAGGTAACTAGTGGCTAGGGAGGCCACTAGAGGCGAGAAACAGGTACTGGATTTAACCCCTGAAGGACACATGACATGTGTGACATGTCATGATTCCCTTTTATTCCAGAAGTTTGGTCCTTAAGGGGTTAAAGGAACTAGAGCAAATGGAAAAAAAAGTCTTGCTAGTCAGGATAGGAACCTGACAAGTAGATTGTGAGTTATACCAAAAATATGTTCTTACATGCATACATACGATTTTTTTAGAAGTACTATATAATTATTCTTATTCACCTTTCATAGTATTATTTTGTGGTAGTAACCAAAGTGTTTGTCATATTTATGACATCTATTGTAACAAATATGCCGCTACAAACGACTTCTATGAGAATGGAATTTCATATCGATGGATGCCGATAACGTTTGTATTGCGTTCCATATAGGCTGTGCATGTATGCTGGGTCTTTCTAGTCAGTCGCATTGCATGACGCAATTCTATGCACCAAGGCATGTGACATGATGGAAGAGGATGCCTGTGAGCGCATGCGCGATGACCTGATTGAACGCAAAGATTATCGTATTTAAGAAGAATGAAGCGAAGAAAAGTTCAGACTTGCATCGGCTCCTGAAGAAGTCCTGACCGAGACAGGACAAAACACGTTGAGCAGCATCGACAGTAGCAGCATTTACACCATGTTCAAAGACCTCTTTACATCACTATGGTTACATTAGAAGGTATCCTATAGCCAGGAGTCGCGACCAGCAGGGTTTCAGGCCATAAGTTACCATCAGTGGTTTGAGTTACCTTAGGTCTTCTAATTGTACGGGTATATTGTATATGTTTGCACTGTGCAATTTTATCAGTTTACTTTTTTATCTTAATTTGAAATTAATTATGTTATTTTATTACAAATTTTGGTTTTATTTCAAAAAGCATTTTATAGCTTTATACAATAATTCCACTCTTTGTATTGGGTAACAAGCACCCTTTAGTGTTAGGTTGAGTATTCACTCACCTTTCACAGATTTAAAGGCAACTGTTTACCCCTATATCCACCTCTGTTGTGTTCATTGTTATATTTGATATATTTGTTGTCTCTTTATACTGCCTCTCTTAGCAAGCTCATTAATTAATTTGCATTCTGTTACTAACTGTATGCCGATGACACCCAGATATCTCTCTCCTCCCTTACCCATCATCCCCACTGTCCTAAAAACATGTCATGGCTTGCCTTTCTTTAATCTCTGCTTGGAAGTCCTCCCACTTTCTGAAACTCAATCTCTCTAAAACAGAGCTTCTTATTTTTACTCCTCATAATGCTGAAACTCCTCTTTCATTCTCCATTCAAGTTAGTGGTGCCCACATCAGCACATCCTTGCAAGCATGCTGTCTTGGTGTTGTATTTGATTCTAGCCTCACCTTTGAGTATTGTATTGTACAGTCTCTTACCAATTCCTGTCGATTCCACCTTAAAAACTTTGCCTACGTCCGCCCTTTTCTTATGCAAGACACTACTAAGGAGCTTGTTCATGCTCTAGTAATCTTTAGCATTTAACACAGAACAGATTATGTAGTCTGCACTCAGGAATAGACCTTGTTAAGATCCACAGTAAAATAAACGATGAACAAAAGAAATAATGAAAAAGTGCACATTTATTAACAAAATTGCAGTGGTCAGTGACATAAAAATAGTTTTGGCAGAACTCAGGATAGTGAATGCTAAGGTAGGTATATCAAGCAGTATGCATAGGGTTCGGATGTCCAAACATGATAGTGAAATTCCGAGCAGAGGCAACATGTTTGCTAGATGGAAGCACTTAAAAAAACAAATGGACACAAAATTGCAATACCTACTGCTGCCAGACGTGAAGAAGACCTCCAACACCATTACCCGCTGAAAAGTGAAGTGGGTATCCTGTGTCACATATGCATCTGCACATAAAAATGTGGTTAATGGCATTTACTGTTCTGACAGGAAAAGTTGTGCCGGGCAACATTACTGTCCTGACAGGAAAAGTTGTGCCGAGCAGTAATCAATCCACAGGAGGGTTTGTGCTGAGCAGCAATCATGCAAATGGGAACCTGGTAACTGCCTTTGGGGTCAAAGGCCGGTTACAACCAATTGGATCCATAGGCGGGGTATTAAGGCCCAGTTCTCCTCTTGCTCAGTGTGCTGTCGAGGTTTCCCTTGTGGTTGTCCGAGAGCACGTTATTGATTCTGGTTATTCTGGTATTTTGACTTTGGCATTGATTTTGACTTGAAACACACAAAGAAAACAAAAACTATCCCTTACTGAGATAGTGAGTGATATACTAAAGTGCCTGAATAAAAGCAGCTCAACACAAAAAGTGGAATACCTTAATCCACAATAAAGTGCAAAATACAAGAAAATGCAAAATACAAGAAAAAAAGGTATAAACAACACTTGCTGGTATATTGTTTATACCTTTTTTTCTTGATTTTGACTTCCCTGTTTTCTGGCATCCCTGACTCCTGGCTTTTCCTTTATCGTTGTGTTCCTTTCTGTGTCCCTTGACCTCGGCTATTCCTGACTATTTTTTGGTACATTAGTCCGGCCATTCTAAGGTCCTGTATACGTTACCTATCAGTCCTCTGTGTTACACAATTCTACATGCTGGATTATACTGTAATCCAGACACCCTGGACATGTTTGCTTCCCCCTGGTACTTTCTCAACATCTCTAGTATTGATTATTGCAACTCTCTTCCCAGAAGCCATACTGCCCCGCTACAGTCTATAATGAATGCTGCCGCCAGACTGATTTTCCTCTCCAGTCGCCCCTCTCACACCTTCCCCTCTGTCAGTCATTACATGTATCCAAAAGGAGTCAATTCAAAGTACTGATCCATACCTATAAAACATTAAACAATTTAAGCCCCTCTTATATCTCTTCACTGATCCAAAGGTATACCCCTTCTCTGCCTCTCCACTCTACCCCTGACTAGAGTTGAGCGAACCCGAACTGAAAAGTTTGGGTTCGCACCGAACATTACGATTTTTTGACCCTGAACCCGGACATTTCAGTAACAGTTCGGTTTCGAGTTCGGTGTTCGTCGATTTAATGGCGCGTTTTGAAAAGCTGGAAGCGTTTGACTCGTGTGCAGGCCCGTCGCGATAAGGCAAGCAATTGCTTGGGGCCCCGAGCTGGCCTGGGGCCCCAAGACAATGACTGGTTAAGAATAAAATGCAACAACAAACTGTGTGAGCGCCCCTTTGATAGTCAATGCAGTAAAGTGCAAATAGCTTTCCTCCCTGTTCCCACGATGCCTCCTGCCAGTATTGCCGAACGTCGTGTCACTTAGACAGAATGCTGGCAAAACTGCTGAATTGAGTCCTAACAGAATGAGAACAGTTTGTCCATTCGTGTTAGAATGCAATTCAGGACTTTTCGAATGAATGAAACTCCGATCCTATTCCCACGGTATTAGGGAGCTATCTACCAAAAGGCTGAAAGACCTAAATTGGCGGTGGGTCGGGCACTCTGGGAGGCGGGTGGGGGCCTTCAATTCCTATGAGGGGGGACCTACTGTCCACCCCCCTGGCCCCCACCCCTGAGTCTCTATTTCCCTGTGGTCCAGTGGGGCTGCTGAGCGGATGGGCGTGTGGTCCCTGTGGTCCAGTGGGGCTGCTGAGCGGCTGGGCGTGCGGTCCCTGTGGTTCGGTGGGGCTGCTGAGCAGCGGGGAGTGCGGTCCCTGTAGTCCAGTGGGGCTGCTGAGGGGCTGGGCTTGCAGTCAATGCAGGTGCACAAGGGAGCTCTAATCTCCTTGCTCAGATCCCTTGCGCACCTCTTAGTGATGCCGGGGCTGGAGTGACATCATATTCTGGCTCTGGCATCACTGTGGTGTGTACAAGGGAGCTGAGCAGGAAGAGTTCAGGGGAGAGTGCTCCATCGCCACCCGCCTCCATCCCAAGCAGATGCCAGCCTCTGGGGTCCCAAGGTGGCAAGCGGGCCAGCCAGCTCCTGGGCCCACCAGGACAAGAGGCTGACAAGGCACCTGCCAGGGCATTTGGGGACGGCTTTTTTTGCCGCCCCCTGAAAGTGCCGCAGAAGGCAAATGCCTTCTCAGCCTTGCACTAGATACAGTGCTGTCGCTTCCTATGGAATAGCCTGCCTACTACCATCAGACCCTCCTCTAGTTTTCAATCATTTAAGTGCCTTAAAACCCATCTCTTCAGGAAAATGTATGGCCTCCCAGAGTAACCTCTACCTCACATGTACCTTGCTCTCTCCTAAAGGGCAGCACTCTACTCTCTCCTGCAGCTCTGCTTCACTCCCACCTTGATTGATTGCTATCTCCTGTCCTATTGGGTTTTATACCCCCACCTCCTCTAGACGGTAAGCTGGTTTGAGCAGGATCCTCCTTAAAGGGACACTGTAGTCACTATAACCACTTTGTCTCTTTGAATTGGTTATAGTGCCTGAAGTAGCCTGGCACTGACCCACCATTCAGTGTTGCACCATGTTTGTGCAGTATGCCACAAAATAAGAGTCCCTGGCCACCCACAGTCCGGCCTTCTGTATGTGTAGCTAAGGCAGAGATTACACACTTCCTTGTTGTCATACCCATTCATACCGTCAGTTGGAGCTCTGACAGGTTAAAAGCAGTCAGCTGACACACTCAGTCAATCACAGCTGCCCATTGCCTCTCAGGGTAATACTTCCTTATTAGCCAAAGCAGCACAGAGGGGATAGACTGCCGTGGACGCTTGTTTAGCATTAAAACATTACAACATTAAAAACTGTTTAATACAATACACAAGATCCAGCGCACTCACCTATCCACTAAACAGCAACTTCAATGTTGAAAGATTTTATTTGTTTTTTTAAAAACACCTAAAAAACACCTAAAAAACACCTAATCTAGGCAAAATCTTGCCTAGATTAGGTGTTTTTAAAAAAACAAATAAAATCTTTCAACATTGAAGTTGCTGTTTAGTGGATAGGTGAGTGCGCTGGATCTTGTGTATTGTATTATTTGGCCCCCAGCAGCACCCCCATTTATGCATGTTAAGGTGAGTGCAGCCAACCCCCTCTTGTTTTAAAAACTGTTTAATGCTGAAAGAAATTATGGTACCAGGGGACTCCAGACACTATAACCAGTTTAATGAGATGAAGCAGATAGAGTGCCTACAGTGTCCCTTTAACCTATTGTTCCTGGAGGTTTTTGTAATTGTCTCATTTATTGTTAAATCTCCCCCTCTTATAATATTGTAAAGCTCTACAGAATATGTTGGCGCTTTATAAATGCCAATAATAATAATAATAATAATAATAATAAAAAAAAAAAACATACCACATCTCCTCTAGATGGAACACAGTAAAGTACAAAAGGGAAGTCAAATATAATCATATGATTTTCAGCTACACAATTCATCCTGGAGGTTTTCGTCAGTGAGGATTATCTTGCCAATTATTGGGTTATTGTGATAGCTACACAGCTCTAAGTGCCTTCGACAAGTGTCCTATGTTACCTAAAATGGAGGATGCAGTGCCATTACTGAACTCATTGGGCCAGCAGTCTCCTACTCTGGAGAAAACTAGACCAGTTATTTGCAAACTTTTAGTTTAAGCTTCACCTCTGATTAAAGTCCCCTGCAACTGTCAGATCTCACTCCAAAATGTCCTGCCGAGCATCCCTTACAGAGGACATACCAATGGGATGACACTTATTCATTCCACCCCACAATCCTGGAGGCCACAACATCCATGGTCTCCCCTACAAGTGAAAGGTGGGAACATGGTTCTCTACTGTCCATATTCCAGAAAGTTGAGGTCAATGACTTACCTGATGCCTGGAGTTTGTGTTGTGTGGCTGCAGATGCTGAAGTCCACAATTCTCATTCTGTCTGCAGGGCCAGCAACCACCTGGCTGTTTGTCATAGAATGTGATTATGTTTGGCCTATGGAGGGCATAGGTTGAACTTGGAATCATGGCTGTGACTCTCCAAAAGGCACTCTGTCACTTCCAACTCTTCAGCTGGGACACAGTACTGTCACCATGTAACCAAGCTATACTTATGATTAAAACTATTATTTTGATACTTTTATTTTACTTCATACATTTGTCAGGCATCAATTATTCGACTAACTTTAATGTATACTCTAAAAGTATGTCAATCAAGAAAAACCTGATACAATTCCATAAGCAGGTGCATAGGGATGAAAAAAAAAAAAAAGACTAACAAAGGTACTTCAAATATACTTAGAAATCTGAATGTAACAGAAATCAAATACAATCTTAATAAATTATAATGGTTAAAGGACCACTATAGTGCCAGGAAAACATACTCGTTTTCCTGGCACTATAGTGCCCTGAGGGTGCCCCCACCCTCAGGGTCCCCCTCCCGCCCGGCTCTGGAAAGGGGAGCTCTCCTCCTCCTCTATTCCTCCCCCTCGGCTGAATGCGCACGCGCGGCAAGAGCTGCGCGCGCATTCAGCCGTTCGCATAGGAAAGCATTTACAATGCTTTCCTATGGACGCTGGCATGCTCTCACTGTGAAAATCACAGTGAGAAGCACGCAAGAGCCTCTAGCAGCTGTCAATGAGACAGCCACTAGAGGATTTGGGGGAAGGCTTAACCCATTCATAAACATAGCAGTTTCTCTGAAACTGCTATGTTTATAAAAGAATGGGTTAACCCTAGCTGGACCTGACACCCAGACCACTTCATTAAGCTGAAGTGGTCTGGGTGCCTAGAGTGGTCCAGGGAATTAAATCAAGATATACAAAACTAGCAAATTGTAAAAGATATAAAAATAGCAATGTTTCTAAAATAACAACCTTAAAAGTGCAAACTCTCACACTGAGTCCACATTAGGCAGGTGTAATATATAACAGTTCTTATTAGAAGCAGTTCATAAACAATGTGACAGTACAGATGACGAAACTCCTACTATTAAAAAAAGCTGGAGTCATTCCTTATCAGCTGTAATTTTATAGTATCAGGCTGATCACACAATGGGGGTATAGAAAATCTTCTGTTCCACTCCAAATCTGGAGCACTATACAGGCAGCGCTGTATCTAGCACGAGGCTGACAAGACATTTGCCTTGGGCGGCACTTTCAGGGGGTGGCAAAACCCCCCAAATGCCCTGGCAGATGCCTTGGCAGCCTCTTGTCCAGAGGTTGGCATCTGCTTGGAATGGAGGCGGGCGGCGAGGGAGCACTCTCCCCTGGGCTGTTCCTGCTCACTTCCCTTGTGCGCACCAAAGTGATGCCGGAACCAGAATATGTCGTCACTCCGGCCCCCGGCATCACTAAGGTGCCAGAGGGAGCTGAGCAGGGAGATCAGAGCTACCTCGTGTGCTTGCATTGACCGCATGTCCAGCTGCTCAGCAGCCCCACTGGACCACAGGGACTGCATGCACAGCTGCTCAGAAGCACCACTGGACCACAGGGACTGCACGCCCTGCCGCTCAGCAGAACCACTGGACCACAGGGAATGCATGCCCATCCGCTGAGCCCAGCAGCCCCATTGGACCACAGGGAAATAGAGACTCCATGCCAGCACTTCCAAAGGTAGGGAGGCTGGGTGGAGTAAAATTTTAAAAGAATAATAAAGTGTGTGTGTGTGTTAGTGAATTTGTGTGTGTGTGTGTCTGTCAAAGAGTGTATGTGTGTTTGTCAGTGAGAGTATATGTGTGTCTGTCAATGAGAGTGTATATGTGTTTGTCAGTAAGTTTGTGTGTGTGTCTGTCAAAGAGTGTATGTGTGTTTGTCAGTAAGAGTGTATGTGTGTTTGTCAGTGAGAGTGTATGTGTCTCTGTCAGTGTGTCTGTCTCTGTCAGTGTGGGTGTCTGTCACCGAGAGTATATCTGCCCATGAGTGCGTATATGTGTCTGCCAATGAATGTGTATGTCTGTTAGTGAATTTGTATGTCTGTCAGTGTGTGTATGTGTGTCAGCTAATGTATGTGTGCCTGTCAGTGTGTGTGTCTCTGACACTGAGTGTATATGTGTCTGTCAGTGTGTGTCTATCAGTGTGTGTGTGTCTGACTCTGCTTTTGTGTGTCTGATTCTTATTAGGTGTGAGTGAGTGTTCGTCTGTCAGTGACTTTGCATGTGTGTCTGTCAGTTGGTGTATGTGTGTCTGTTGGTGAATGTGTGTGTCCATCAGTAATTGTGTGTGTTTTAGTGAAAGTGTGTGTTGGTTAAACAGTGTGTGTGCCAATGACTCTGTATCTGTCACTAGATGCATCAGTGAGGGCGTGTGTCTGTCAGGAAAAGAGCATTTTGGTTTTAAGATAAATTTAGATGGGGTGGTAGGGAGGAGTCAAGTATTGTCATGCCTAGGGCAGCACAAAACCAAAATACATCACTTTATACAGGTCCTATATATCACTGAAGAATTGGCAATCTATAACAAGAACAGTGATCTCTATTAAATTTTATTGAAAAGTAGAAATCAAAATTGAAAACAGTTACAGATTTCTGTGTATTGACATAGCTCATAAAACTGGAGAAAAACTCCTGTCAATGCTAGCTGTAATCTCCCGTAGATGCTGGCCTAAAGGAAAGTCTTTGCTTCGCTTCTGTGACCCACCGCTTGTTCGATTCTCACATGTGCCCAGTCTGCTTTCCTCTGATCGTGCGTCCACAGTCTCCATTCAGCATCAAGATGCATTTCATGATTTCCGAATCACTTCTTTAGAGGCTAACATGCCTACTTCAACAATATAGTCCACGGCTCCTTAAAACATTCTGGACTACTAATAACCCATTAACCCATTAATAACCCATTATTACCCATACATTAATGGCTAATACATTCCCTATTAGCAGTGTTCTTCAGAAACATTAAAAAAGATGTAAATAAGTTAAGCACCTTACATGTTACAAATCAAAAGTAAATTAGGACTAAAACTAAAAATAGATAAACCTAAATTATACACACACCGAGATAAACAAATGATTACATTAAAAAAAAAACATTAAAACATATTTTTAATAAAGACACATAATTAAAAATTTGTGCAAATAGATTTATGGACTTACTTAAAATATCATTGTATTTTTAAAATACAAAAATAAAAAAATAAAGTTAAATAAAACAATACAAAAATTGAGTCAAGAAATGTAAAAGAGATTAAAAACAAGTATAAGTCCCCATCTAAAATTGCACATGTTGTACATAACAACTAAAAAAAGCAAACTGATATGACTAAATTAACATATGATATATCAAATAAAATAATTTAAAAATAAATACAAATAAATAAAAAAGTAATGTAAGTCCAAATCAGATGAATAAAAAGAGTATACATGAGGGGCGGGGCCTGACTGTCATGGAGGGAAGACGTGCCTTGCTAGAGCTCCCTACGAAAAAATGGAATAATAGCTACAAAGGCACTCTTCAACTCACTACACGAGACCCTAAGCGACTTACCACCTCCAACTGCCCATGGTGAACCGGTAAAGCGGGCGATGAGCGGACGAAGGACGGCAGAATACACCCGCGAAGGCATGCGGCCTGACATGTGCCGGGGGGGGAGAGGCGGCCGACCTCCTAACCTGGAGCCATCCGGAGACTAAAAGCCACAAACGGGAACCCTGCAACCCCCCTTGGACCGGTGGGGGTGATCCCGGTCCACCCCAGGGCCCCCCCCCCCCCGATACAGGGGGACTGGAGACATGAAAAGCTCACCTAAATGGTGGAGACCATGCAGCCCCCAGGCAACAGTGAGGCCCAACTCGCATCCGGGTCCAACCTGGACTGCATATTCACAGAATTTTGTCTTAAACTCGAGTAACTATGGCAACAAAGTGACACAAGTCCACTCAGCACAAATTACTCACCTCGACAGACGTTACCCGATCCCCAAAGACTGAAAGCTGCACCAGCGGAAACTAAAGCCAAAACAAGGCGGCGGAGTGGCATACGTGTACCTCTACCACCCAAGGCAACAATGCGATGGACACCGCGGAAATCAAGCACAGCCCAGCTATGGCCACCCACAGC